TATGTAATCTCAATTAATAAGAGATGCTATGGCTATTCTCTAATTAATTAAGATCATATAAATCATTAAACAATATAACAAAAACTATTATTATATTGTGCTAACCATTGTCGTACTGAACGTTAGATTACAAATAATAAAACATAATTACTAAAATATAACTTCTAAGTAAATTGCATAGCAACACAATGTAATAATTAAAAATTAAACACTTGCATAAAATTCTTAATAATGCAAATAAATTGGATATCATGCATCAATTTTATTTATTTTTATTTTCCACGTAATATGACAATGAATCATATCCTTAATAAATAAGTACATATGCACATTATTTAATTTATAAAGAAACTATATTATTGTAACCAAAACGTTACATTATAATATTATACATAATTGCATAATGCTAATACGCATCCATATAGATGTGTATTTGCATAATACATCTTTAGTGTATTTTTAAGTGGAATCCATCACTTTATATTTTGTTTTTTTATTGTTTTTTTCAAATTTCTGTAATTTAAGAGGGGTTTAAAACCTCTGCTATTTATTTGTTATTATTATTTTTTAATTATTTTTGAACAATTTAAAGGGGTTATATTAATGAGTTTTTTTAATAGCTATAATAGATTAAATTTTGAAATAGTAGAAATTAAAAATCCCTTAAATTTATAGTGGGTGCATATTAAGAAATCCTTACATAATTATAATATAACGAAACAATATATTAAGAAATCAAAATGAACATGATAATGGTGGATTCTCATTAAAGAAGAATAATTACAAGGTAGGTTTTAATTATACATGTAAGGTGACTTGCACCATAAGAAACTACACCCTAGCACGCCATAGTGAAACTCACAGTGTGTAACTAACTTCTAACAATCAACTAACACATTCTAACCGATTTTAAGTTAGTTGGTGATGTGTAATTTGGTTATCATCATGTTCCATGTTTGCATGATTTGCATGGTTCAATATCCCTCCACAAGTTGAAGATTGATAGATGTTTACATATTCAACTTGACAAGTAAGACATGGAATGGTTGAGGATGAAGAGATTTGGTGAAAAAACTGCAAGCTGGTCTTTGGACTTGACAAGAAGTAACTTTAAGACTCCTTGACTATGCTTTTCTCTAATAATGTGGCAGTCAATTTCTAAGTGTTTCACGCGTTCATTTAAGACAGGATTTGAGGCAATGTGTAATGTGTGTTGGTTGTCACGGTAGATGACTGGAGTCTTAGTACATGTGGCATGCAAATCATTCATGAGATATAAGAGCCATTGAATTTCACATGTGGCAACTGCAAGGGCTCTATACTCAGCTTCGAATGAGGAACGAGATACAATCAATCGCCTCTTTGTTCTCCATGATATGAGAGATCGACCAAGAAAGAAACATCAGAGTAACCATGTAATTATAATGTTGAGTCCCTAGGAAGAAGAATGCCTCGAGCTGGACATGATTTGAGGTACTTTAGAACTCTGCAAGCTTCTTTTAGAGTAGGATTTGATGGTGTTGAGAGAGCTTTAGAGTCAAGGAATCCTGAATCTTCTAACAAGTCGAGGCAATATTTTCTTTGGTGGAGGAGAATACCTGCTTTTGAATGAGCTACTTCGACACCTAAAAAGTACTTTAAATTTCCCAGGCCTTTGATTTAAATGTGTTGTCCAAAGATGATTAGATTGAATGGAACTCAGTTAGATCATTTCCTGTTAGAATCACATCATCAACATAGACCAATAATATTGTGATGGAAGATTTGTTGCCTTTCACAAAGAGTGAATGATCATAGGTAGCTTGTTTATAATGATGCTCAGTAAGGAATATTGTAAGCATTTTGTACCATCTTTTACTAGCTTGCTTAAGTCCATATAAGGATTCAACAAGCTTACAAACTTGGTTAGGCTTGGTTATGGATACTCATGGTGGAACGATCATGTACACATTCTATTCAATTTCTCCATGAAAAAATTCATTATTTACATCAAGTTGATGTATATGCCATTGTTTGCATCAAGCTGAGGCAATGATGGTTCTCATAGTAGTGATTTTAGCAACTGGTGAGTAGGTATCAAAATAATCAAGACCCTCTATCTGATTAATCCCTTAGCTACTAGCCTTACCTTAAATATGTAAATAGAACCATCAGCAAGGTATTTGATCTTGTAAACCCACCTGTAACATATTGGTTTAACAACCTAATCAGAGATCAACAATCTTCCAAGTACCAGTCTTTTCAAGGACTGAAAGTTCAAGCTGTGTGGTTTGCTTCCAACACTCATGTTTGGATGCCAAAGTATATGTCTTAGGTTCAATGTTATAAACTAATGACAATGCATAATGAGAATGTGCGTGTGACAAACATTCATGTGAAATAGAATTGGTTAGTGGATAAAGAATACCTTTGGAAACTTTATCTGATGTAGTAAGAGAATTTGCATATATAATCTTGCAGATAAGAGGGATCATGTCTCATCCTTGAAGATGTTCTAGGTGGTGGAGGTTCATGAGCATCAATTTCTGAGGTAGAAGGTAGGTTAATATAGGTAGGCTGGTCATCAATGATGTAAGGTATGTCAGATGTATTTGTGCAGGTAGGTTGGTTAGGTGATAATGGTGTAGAAGAGTTATAGGAATCATCATGTGGTTTTGTGATAGGTTGGTCAGTGGTAATTTGAGGTGATATGACATGGTTAGTTGATTTGTTATCAGATTTAGATGGAAAATATGACCATGAAGTGTGTAATGTTTAGTTTTTGGATTTATATGGTAAGATATGCTCTTGAAAAATAACATTTTTTGATACAAAGATTTAATTGGTATGAAAGTTAATTAATGTGTAACCTTTCATATCAGGTTTATATCCAAGGAATATAGACTTCCTTGCTCGAGGATATAACTCAGTTCTATGAGTTTGAAGTGTAGAAGCATAACATAGAGATCTAAAAACTTTGAAGGTTTCAAGGTCGGATATTTTGTTGTGAAGTGTTTGGTAAGGTGATTTGTTATGAGGAATAGGTGTAGGTACTATGTTTATGATAAAAGTTGCAAATTGAAGGGCATATGATCGATTGGTTTTTGGTAATTTTGACTAGTATATGATAGCTCTTCCTACATTCAATGGGTGCTGGTGTTTTCTTTCCACCCAACCATTTTGTTGGGGATTTTCAACACAAGACATGTGATGCATAATGCCGTTAGATGCATAAAATTGATGTAACATGAAATCAGGTCCATTATCTGACCTATCAGCTTTAGGTGTGATGTGGAATTGGTTGATGATCATGGTTATGAAGTTTTGAACTTGTATGGATACCTCATACTTGGATTTTAAAAGGACAATCCATAAAAAGTGTGTGTGGTCATCTAAGATCGTTAAAAAGTATTTGTGATTGTGTATGGATGGGGTAGATAAGGGTCGCCAAATGTCAAAGTGCATAAGTTCAAATTTGTGAGAAGCGACAGAGTTACTTGAGTGATAAGGCAACTTTCTTTGATTTTCTAAATGGAAAATATCACATGTAGCATTATTATCAAAATCATATGAGGAGTACATTTTAGACATTTGAGCTATTCTCTTAGAAGATACATGTTCTAGTCTAAAATGCCATAAGGCTGACTTAGGAACTACAGTATTTTGGAAATGTGGTGAAGGAAAAGAAGCCTTAATATGACAAGTAGTGGATTGTGTGGGGAGCTTGAGTTGGTGACGAGTTTGGTGAGATGAGCTAAAATCTTCAAGATGATGTCCATTATTTGCTACCCAAACCAATCATCCTCATTGTACTCATTTCCTATATAGACATTGATCAACAAAAAGTTTTAAAAATTATTTCAAGTTATGACACAATTTTGAAATTGAAATCGGGTTCAATTTGAAGTCTAGTTCATACAAAACATGGTTGAGATATAATACAGATGTAAAGCTAACATTACCAGCATATTTTACAATTGTGAAATTGCCATTAGGAAGAGTGATCTTAATAGGTTTAATTTTATATAATGAGCTAAATAAGTGTTGTTGCATCCCAAAATTTGCCCTCCTAATTTCTGTTATCTGGCTTAGGCTTTTGCATTCATCTGCATACATTCCATTAGGTCACTAACATACATTTGCATTTAATAAAGTACCATGAGGTTCAAAAGTTCAGTGGGCTTGCAATGTCAGGGTTTCGCCTTCTTTAGAAGTTTATATATCAAATACAGCTTGATGTTCTCGATTCTTCTTCAATCAGTGAATGTGTGGAATTAGGGTTTATGTGACTTCAAGGGGATCCCTCCCATTCAAAGTGTACTTCTCATAAGATATGGGTTTTCATCTATTGTGCTTCATTTGAGGATCATTGGATTAAGGTTTGATCTCATGGTTATCTTAAGTCTCATCTAAGGTTTTTCTTCCAACTACTTGCATTACAGGATATATCATCACTTCTTGGATCCCTTTACAAAAGCTTGACTTTCATCTAAAGCTTTCGCTTAAGTCATGGGCATTTGGTTTTATCCTAAAGGGTGTGCGCCAGAGCATAAGGATTCCTTTGAATCATCTGCTCCAATTCTATGATTCATCAATTGAGGAATGGTTTTGTCAAGAGTTATGATTTCGTTGGGGTTTATTGAGATTATCTTTCAGAATCCAAAAGTTCAATTGTTGTTTGAGCCCCGAGAAGTTGACTATGGAATTAATACGGTAGATTTGGCATTAATACGGTGGATTCATATATTCCTCAATTAATCAGTTAAGTTTCCATGCATGGTCTCCATTTCACTTGGGCTTAAGGTGCAAGGCATTGGAAATTGGAAGTTCAAACATGAAATTAGGATTTTTAAACTTGAGTATGGCGTGCAAGGTTGCTTTATTCCGAGTTCTTAGGGAATTATGGGATACAAGATTGATATACATTCAAAAGAAATCACATTGCAAGGTCATTCAAAGTTTCTTGGAGATAGAAGAATCCTTGCATTTCAAAACTATTTCATCACAACATCCAAAGTATCATGACTTCAAGTTCCATTAGTGTCGTTACAAAGTCAAGAGAGAAGAGTATGCAATTTGAAGAAGAATGTTTTCTTGGAATACTTCTGGATTTATCATTCAAAGAGGATTACAAAGCTTCATCACCTTTACCATGCCTTATCCTTATTTCCAAACTTATCCAAATTTCAGTACTTAACATAAACTATGTACTAAACTTGATATCATTGCTTTGTTCAAAATTCACCATAATTCCATTTCAACCTCAAATATCATACACCATTTTTTTGTCCAAATAACATTCCAATTTCCATCCATTAAAAAGTCCATTTCAAGTTTACTTTACATCAAAAGAAAGCTACAAAAATACTATCCTAAACCACCTAGTTTTATCCAATTTTGCTTTCAATCGTCCCTAAACTCTTGAAAATTTCAAGAATTGCCATGTTCTTCACTTTGAATAAAAAAAACCATGCTGCCAGACCTTGTACCAGGCCATGTTACCCTGCAAAAGAACCATTAAACCAGTTCAACAATTAACACAAATAGCTCATGAAAACCAGTACATACATCACTACATGCAAAGTTACAACTCAAGCAGACCTATTTGTTAATAAGCGTGCCATTTTGTTCAGCCAGTTCTAATTGCAAGCCAATCCAAGAGCATTCTGAAGACGCCATAACCCTGCACGTACTCATAACCGAACCAGATGCAATTAACTTCCATTTTCCACTATATGTTAACCAAACCATGCCAATCACTGAAAGAAAATCCAAAATAGAAATAAAGCCCCTCAGTAGTTTAACCATCATTCAGCATAATCCCAAATATCCAATTTCACATTTGAATCAAATCAGCGCTGCAACTTACCGCACAGATAGAGCGAGAATCCGTGAGTTTTCATCATTATGAACCTGTATAAAAACAGAAACTATTTGACATACAAAATTCACAAAAAGCTATACAATCATTACATGATAAATCCAAAGCAGCTTCACACAATGTTCAGTCACACATACAATTCCTAATACATACAAACCTGCATATTCAGGTCAAAGGAGGTACACATTCAAAAACAGTCGCATAACATCTCACAAAAGACCAAGACTAACTAAAGCCTAAGCTTCCTACTGTTTGTTGTTGAATACTAGAAACCGAACCTTTCATATAGCACAAAACCAGCCATACATTCAAGCTCAACCATACCTTGCCACAAGATTGCATTCAGCATAAAAGAAAGGGTTAAATATGTTTTTGATCCTTATAAATATCTCAAATTTCATTTTAATCCCTATTAAAAAATGACAAATTTTTGCCCCTAAAATTTTTTTGTTCATCCAGTTTTAGTGCTTGCTATTTTCTAAAATTTTAAAAACTGTTTATTTACCCTTAAACTTTTAAATTTTTTAATAATATTTTCCATACGTGTTTAGAATACTATAAAATGTTTCTTCATCAAATTTTAGAACTTTTTAAAATGAGAAGAATTAAATATGGTTTTTTTAAATTTCAAAAGATATTGATAAAAATAATGAAAATCTCGGCTTAGAAATCAAATTTTGAATTTCTTTTTTTCCAAGAAACTTTTTATAGCGTTCTAAACATGTCTACAAAATAATCATTCAAAAATACACATTGGTTTAACAACAGGGACTAAAACTACGTGCATAATAATTTTGTAGGGACTAAAACTTGTCATTATTTTAATAAAGACTAAAAATGAAATTTGAAATATTTATAAGGACCAAAAACATATTTAACCCAAAAAGAAATTAGGAGCTAACTAACAAATCTTGTTTCTAAGAGTTTGTTAGCATTCATTAATTTCTTTTAACAGTTTTAAACTAACTTCATGTCCTTTAACCTCTACATGTAAGAGAAAATCAAAGTAAGCTAACTCTCCTAAATGAATTCCAACTCAGCTCTAACTGATTCACTAACAAGAATTGCTAAGTAACCTCATAACAATCAGAGCTAACAAACTTTCAACAGATATATAACAGAATCCATTCACAAGTCAGAAGAGGAGAAAAAACTAGGATTGAATAGGTTCATACCTTTAAATCATTTTGATTCTTCATTCTGTGGATAATCACACAGGAAAAACCATCATCGTCATCCTTCTCTCAATTCTTCCTCATCTTCAACTACCAGAAAACAGTTACAAATTGGTTACATCCATAACAAACTTCAACCCTCTCAGATTCTCTCTCTTGGATCCTCCATCGCAACCAACTCTCACCTTCACCCTCACTTCGCTCTCCTTTATCATCTTCCATCTTCCTCTTGAAGATCACTCTCCGATATCATCAACAACACAGAAATTGCAACAACTTCATCACTACAATATCAACGATGCCAACAGCGATTTCCTTCGTTACAATACTGCATCGCTGCGTTAAATTACCTTGATAGTAGCAACATAAACGCAAAACTCAGAAATACGAACACAAAAATTTGCAGAGGAAAACGGAAGAGAGCGTAAGAGTGAAGACGAAGAAGGAGCTCGTGTAGAGAGTAAAAGGAAAAGGTTATCATCACCTGGATTTTGCGGCTAACTCCGGGTTTCTCTGATTGTCGTCGCTGTTGAAGGTCCGTCGGAGCTATTCCGGTAGGTAGGTCGTTCTCTTCTTCTTCTCGCACTATTCTTGTGACTCGATCTCACACATCGTATCAGATTGATTTCGGTTGATGTTTAGTTAGGTTTTGTGGTTTCTGTTAGATTTAAGTTCAGAAGAAGATGAAGGCAGTGGCGGTGGAATTGAGGTGGTTGTGTCATCTTAATGGCGATTCACGGCGGTTTTTGGTCGGAGAAGAGGTGAGTTATGAAAGCTGTCGATTTGAGATGAAGTCAGAGAAGAGGCGTGAGGCCATTGCGACGGACGCAGAGAGGGTCACCGTTGTGTATGTTAAGTGTGTTATCGCATTTAAAGAAGATGAAGAGGCACTCTATTAACCCTTTCCTCACCCAAACGCACGCGTTTTGCTATTATGCTACGTGGATTCAATACAGAAAGAAAACTGAATGGAAGTGGATTTTTGTTTGGTTATTAGAACAAAGGCATGATCCACTAGGCTTATTTACATCCTCACTAGGCCCATGATGCACCCTAATTTTTTGAAATCTTGGTGACAATTGCTACAAAAACAGGCTTACTGGACCATTGATTGGGCCTACACCCTGCTTCTGCACACTCTTGCATTCCATTTTGTAACCCCCCTTGGGCCTCTTTTTCTATTTGTAATTTCTTTCGAACAATTTTGATAATTGTTTAGATTTGTTTGAACTTTTTCTTCACATGATAAAAATAAAAAAATAAATAAAAATTTGTTAGGTTTTTTTATTTGATTTTAGGCATTAATTCATCATTATCCGATTACTTGAGACTTGTGAGTCACTTTTACTTGTTGAGATATGAGTCTTATGCGGGTTTATTGTGTGATATGCGAATATGCTTGAGTTTCTGATTGTGATTTATTTTCACATCGATGATGTTTCGACATTTATTCTGAGCATTTGATTTCTGACTCTTTTTTGTTTCTTGGTGAAGCTCGCTTGGATTTTTCCGAGTTTCTCTACTTTGCTTGTTGTGCTACAAACTTTTGTTCATTCTATATCATTTTGACTCTGCTTTATCTCTCTACACTTTAATGCTTTCTAGATATCATGAGAAGTAGGAAATAAAGAGTGTGTGCTCAAAGTCGTTGTTTAAAGACCTGTAGCAGGCATTCTGCACTTATTTTTTATTTGTGTTTGTGCTTCTGTTTGTTTCCTTTGTTGACGATCAATGATGTCACTCAATTAGAATTGAGAAAATGAATTCGATGTTTGCATGCTCCCTTAGGACTTTATCATTTTCCTTTATTAATGATCGATGATGTCACTCAATTAGAATTGAGATAACGACTTTGATCTTTGCTTATTCCCTATAGGGTAGTTATCCTCGCCCTTAGGTTTTAGGTATGCTAACTTAGGTAGGGATTTCCGTTGTGTGTGCTCTCTTGAGCTTGTTGATTACTTGCTTTCCATCCTTGTGTACATGTTTTCTTAGGTTGTGAACCTTTCGCATGTTCCCTTAGGATCTCTTGATTCACCCTTTGATGGTGATTCGAGATAGACGTAGGTTTATGTTGTGAACCTTTGCTATGTTCCCTTAGGAGCTCTTGATTCACCCTTTGGTGGTGATTCGAGATAGATGTAGGTTTAGGTTGTGAACCTTTTTTATGTCCCTTAGAAGTTCTTGATCCATCCCTTGGCGGTGATTCGAGATAGACATTAGGATTCCATGCATGCTAACATAGGGTAGAGATTTCCATTTTAAAACTCAACTGTAGGGCCATCGTTGTAGGATAACATTAGAGATTAGATTCTAGCTAGTTTCCCTTAGATGTTTTGCTCTCTTTTGCATCCTTGCATTAAGACTAAAACTCTTTTCTTGGAAAATGCATAAAACATCTAACAACTTTCAAATCCTTTTTCAAGGTAAAAAAATCCATCCAATGCAAACTCTTCTTGCCTTCAGACCTTTCTTTCAAACTTCAAAAGGATGTATTAATTCTACTCTACGCAACACAACGCGTAAATCCCCAAAGGTAGGTGGCACTATGTCTAAATTGCTAGAGCACGAATGTAGCATTATCCGCCTTCGGGCATTTTTCTTTGCAAATATCTTGTTAGGTAGAACATGTTAATTCACTTATGTGCTGACGCGTGAATCTCCAAAGGTTGAGTTGCAGCAGGAGGCAAAATTAACATTGTTTATTAAAAAACACAAAATAAACTGTAACATGTGAGCCGAACTATGGCGCTCTGATTCCTTAAAAAGGATAAGTAGGCATCTGGTCACGGGGTTCACCAGAGCGAAGCTTTGTAAATATTTCCTTCTTTTCACTGTGTTTTCTTTTTTTGCATGCATTCCCTCTTTGTATTTTTATTTTAGCTCCTAATCTTAGATTTGAACACACCCTTTGATTAGAACAACAAGAGTTGATACCGTGAAGTACTACGGGCGTGTGGGGTGCTAATACCTTCCCCTCGCGTAATAGACTCCCTTACCCGATCTCTCGGTTGTTTAATCATGATTTCACCCTTCTCAGGTTTTCTCGATGTTCACCTTTCCCTTCCCGTGGGATACAAAATGTTCGATGGTGACTTCATTGATTTCATCTCGATAATTTGTTCATCCGGTTGTTTCAAGTGCAAAGATGAACATACATGATCATTGGAACGAGAATCTATGATCCATGTATGAGGGAAATTGTGTGTGTGATAAGTAATGTTGCAAACATACCTGAAAGTTGGTCATATCGAATTTGGCTAGTGGAAACCTGATTAGTAGTGGAAGTAGAAGCGGGTGTGGAGATGTTTGAATTTTGTAGCAAACTGATGAGTTGTTCATATTGAGCTTGAGAGTTAGGCATCTGATTGCTTGCAATAGAGGCATCTCGTATGGCTTCAGTTGAAGAATTCTCCACTTGACTTACATTTACAGATGATTTGTTCTTGTTAAAGTTGGGGTGGTCGTGCTTTTGATAGAATAAACTGGCTGTATGACCAGTCCTATTGTAGAAAGTACACACCCTGGGAGTACTTTTGGAGTTATGAAATCCACCCTTATGCTTGAAATTGGATCTTTGAGCAGCATTTACCAGAAAATGGGCATCATCGATTGGTGTAAAATTCTTGTGACGACTCTCTTCTTGAACCACATGAGAGTAAATTTGATTCATGGATGTCAGATGATACATGATCAAGACTAGAGTCCTAACACCAAACAAGTATCATTTAATCTGGCGAGGAATTGAATAGCTTGTTCCTCAAGCCTATGTTCTTGAGCTTTTCACACTGCATTGCAGCGACATTGATAAGTGTCAAAATGTCGTTATTTTGTATATAAGTTTTGTGGAACTTA